GAAACCTTTTTACTTTTTGGTAAAATATAAAAGATGGGGTCATGTCGGGTAAATAGACACCAAATATGTCAAGCCTTAAAATTGCGCGCACCCGTGAAACCGCAACAAAGACTACAATACCCAAAATTGCCCATAGGCGACCATTTAAAAGCTTTTACTGCTCATAGGTTTAGCGTTATCAGTGATTGATGGCCCTAAAATTATTGCTCGCACTCTGACATTTACGGTGATATGTAACATGCGAAGTGCAATTGTCGTTTTCACTCGTTGGCGCACATAGGCGTCTCTACAGGGGGGTAAGGGGGGGCAATTGCCCCCCCCTAGGTTATTCCTTGCCCCCCCCCGCTGATTCCCATTTAAAACGGCCGCTGCCGTACAGCTTCACTGTACGGCAGCGGTCTCTTGCTAGCTGACAAGCTCCAATCCCCACATTATCCGACAGTGGGGATTGGAGGTACATAGGCTACATCATGTGACTGCAAAGATAACAGGAAAAAACGTTTTTGAGCTTAGTAAAATGATGCAATGTATGGCTAGTTATTGTTAGGGTCTTATTAAATGCTCATATGCAATAAGTAGTTCTAATAGGTTTACATACACTACTATAATGTAACAAAGTTTAGATATTCAGAGCAGAGATGACATTCATACTGTGCTTGAGAAAGCTCTCCCTGAAAAGGGTTCTTGCACAGTAATAGTAAATCCATAGTACACATAGAACAAAGCTGATCAAGCCATGCATCAAATGATGATTTGTAAACAACAAATGCAGTTAAAAAAAACATGAAGCTTGCAATTCAAACTGCTGCATAAGCTTTTTTGCTGCGTTTTTCACGCGTAGGGCATGCCATTGCAATAAGAGGGCTGCTCTATGCTGTTGTGCAACAAACGCTGCAAAACATGCATTACTTGCTCACGTGCACCGCAAGCGTGACCCTGGCTTACATAAAAAAAGATTGTTTACAGGATACCTTGACATCCAAAAGTAAACCTCATGTAAGAAAAAAATGTATGTGGCACTCCCTCTGCATAAAAGATCAGAGCTGAGAAGGTCTTGGCTTCCTTTGTACAATAGCTTTGTTTGCACGGGGTCATTTAGCATGACATGGAGTGGAGGCAAAATATTTTTTATGTGTTAGTGTCTCTGTTATCTATGGTGAACATTCATTGGAGAGATTCAGAACCATTTTGCAGAAATAGGCTTTCTAATTAGAGCAGAGTTCTTTAATTTTTGCAATTTGATCACACAAAATACACTTTACCACTCCTACTTTCATCTATGTTTATGTCATTCCCAGTGGAATTGTTGTTTGATTTAGAATAAGCTACAGTACAATCTAGTAAGACAGAGCTGTGGTTAGCAGGAAAAGGAATCCACCCAAGGCTTCCTTTCATTACACTGATTCAAGACCACATCTATTACTGCTGTTAACTTTTTTAAAGCTGCAGCAAGAACGTGCCAAGTTTATTTAAACTAGCAAAAGTTGTTGGAGTTGTACTAGAAGAGGAGAAACACGGGTGTAATGCAGAAGTGTACCCTTTTTCAGGTAGGAGAGTAACAATGTGTGTCTATGTAAAAAAGGGGGTGGACTGAGAGATGGGGCTGTCACCATGGGGGATGTGTAGGCGTCAGGGGAATGCTGCTATATATAAGATGTTTTATAGCGTGCTGCACGTGTAAGATAGTATAAGGTGACACTGTGCTTTCAGTGTTAGACTATAACTATTCTGTGCACTGATTTACCATTGCATTATTATAACAAATGACATAAGAATTTTGAGAGTGGGTTATGTTCCTGAGAGGACAAGGAGGTTGACAATGAGACTGTGTAGTAATATGGCAAACATGGACAATGAGGGATGCTGGAGTAGGACCACTGAGATCGTTGAGTGACATGGGGTGAGAAGGGGCACCAAGAATGAAGAATTAATGAGACAACACTGAGAAGGAGCAATGAGATTGTGTAGATTGTGTTGTAACTTCGAGTGGGAAGGCACACCGATGATGGAAAAGCAATGAGATAGTGGAGTAACATGGAGAAGAAGGGATGCTGAGAGATGCTGGAAATAGAGTGATGAGGTTGTGGAGAGGTATGGGGTGAGAAGGGGCACCGAGGATGAGGAAGCGATGAGACTGTGAAATAACACGGAGACAGCTTCCTGATGGATGCTGGAGAAGAAGTGATTGTGGAGTGACGTAGGGTGAGATGAAGAAGTGATCAGACAGTGAAGTAGCATGGAGGAGAATGAGATTGTGGAGCAACATGGAGTAAGAAGAGGCCCCAGGGATGGGGATGCAATAAGACAGTGGCGTAACATGGAGGAGTACAGAAATTGGGAAAGTGGAGTAACTTGGGAAGGAGTGCTGAGAGTTGATTGTCAAGGAGTGATGAGATTGTGTAGTGACATGGAGTGAGAAGTGGCACTGAGGATGAAGAAGAGATGAGACAGTGATGAAACCTGGCAAGAGGTGGTGAGAGATGCTGGAGAAGGAGTGATAAGATTGTGAAGTGACACTTAGGTGGTAAGTGGCACTAAAGTAATGTAGGAGAAGCAGCAATGAGACTTGGAGAAAAAAAATGCAGAGGGATGCTGGATAAAGGGCAATGAGATTGTGTAGTGATATAGAGGAAAAGGGTGCAGAGAGATGCTGGAGAAGTGTTGAGATTGTAGAGAGATGTGAAAATATAAGGGTTGCTGAGGGATGCAATAGATGGCACTCTGAGACTGGCATGATTTGGAGAAAGGGTGGTTAGGTATGTTGAGGAAAGGGTTATGCCATATATTTGTGTGTGTGTGCCCCCCTCCCCCCCCCCCCCCCCCCCCCCTTTACTCATTGTTGCTGCCTGGAACTCCTGTGGCAGAAACTTGTGGGGATTGAGGTCCATGGCTGGGAAAGATACATACTGGACTAAGTCTAATGGACTATGTTTCCCAGGATGATGTGGGGCAAGGAGGGAGGAGTGAACTGGGTGTGCAGAGAAAAATCCTGGCTATTCTAGCAGGGGAGAACCAGCAGACATAACTGAGAGATCTGCTGGCTCTGCCATTAAGAGACTCCAGCAGCACTAAAGCCTGTGTTCCTGTTGTGTTGTGATAACTGCTTGGCAGGAGAGGATACTACTCCCTGGCTGGAGAACGATTGCTCTAGACCAGGGGTCTCATACTCAATTTACTTGGGGGTCACTGGGCAAATTTTTTATTCCTGTGGGGGTCCCTTGCCAAAATGCATGCTTCAAAATAAAATGTAACTATATACGGTACCAGTGCCTACTGTCTGTGCATGTTACAAGCGTTTAGAAGGTCACCCATTTAAGTCAATGATCAGGTGACAGCATCTGCATGTAAACGCCTGCATACCGCATGTAATCATATGTGAAAGGATTACATGCAATCAGGAATCAATCACTAGTGATTGTTTTTTAAAATACCCCCCCCCGCACACATAATACACCCCCCTTTCAAGCCCAGGAGGAGTCACATCATTCCCTGGTGATCCAGTGGTGTGCCTGAGTTGTCCGATGGCTGCGGTGATCGCTTCAACGTCAGGACGGGTGAGAGGCTACTGGTCATATCCTAATATTATATTCAAGTTACTTGTACCAGCAGAGTTTGGGCCCCAACAATGGCTAGCTAGGTTTAGGACCCGGATCTGTTTGGTCTAAGACTGTATCATTGCTTCCACTATTCACCAGGAAATGTAATACTGTCAGTTCAGTATAATGTGGGAAGTCAGATAGGCAGTAGTATCAGCACCTGTCTGAACATTAACCGTGTTTTCTATTGTATGTCACTCTCTGTTACTGCTTAGTAAAACTTTTCAAAACCTTGCAAGGTGTGCTGGTGTGCTGTGTATCCATTGTCGAGGCTTATCACAGTGGAAACTAAGGGAGACCCATTGCTTTGCTACTGTATGCTGCTCCTTAGGTGGGTGCGCTACACTTGGGGGTTTCTCGTCCGGGATTTCCCTGTTATTCCTCGCAAAGTGGTGACCTCATCAACAAACACAGCAAACATCATGGATCCAAAAACAGCAGCAGAATGTAGCAGAATAGAGCTTAGTATGGTGATGGATATCCCCACTGACACCTGGACTGAGGAACAAGTTCGGCAAGCCATAAATGCACTAATACCTGAACAGCGAGGGCTAATAGTAGACATGCAAGTAAACCCAGAAACTTCTCACACGTATGTATTACTGGAATGGAAAAAGAATATTCCTGCCGGTTTTCAGGGTGCAAGTGTGTAACTGTGCAACTCAGAATTTACTGAGTAAATTCAGTAGACTCGGTTAATTCAGCCAAATAGAGAAATGGACAACCCAGAGAGCACAAACCAAGCTGCTTCAGTCCAAAGTGCTTTTCCATCTGGTTCAGTGGTGAGCATAGGTCCAGAGTTCATTACAGCAATAAGAGACCTTGTGTTAAAGTGTCAGAAGAGTGATCCTCCTTATACTGGAGGATTGAGATTCTTTTCAGGCAATCTATCAGTGCCAGTTAATGTGGAGAGTTTTGATTGAATGGATTGAACAAACAATGCAGGCCATGGATGAATATTCCAGAGGCACAAAAGAAACAAAGAATTACCGAAAGTTTAAAGAGACCTGCTTCAGAAGCCATTTGAAATCTGAAGCTCAGTCAACAGGATTGCACTGCTCTAGATTACCTAATCATTCTGCTGGAATTCTTTGAGCGAACAGAGAAAGCTGCTGAGTTGCTGTATCAATCTGAGCCTATCGACAAAAGGGCGAAAAGATGTCTGACTATATGAGACGTCTCGACAAGATACTACACCATATATTGCTGAAAAAGGGGATGGATTCCATCACAGTCGACGAGGTCAGAATGCAACAAGTACAAGGGGTGCTCAACCCCTAGACCAGTGATGGCGAACCTTTTTGAACCAGAGTGCCCAAACTGCGACGCAAAATCAATTTATTTATCTCAAAGTGCCAGCGCTGAAAATAAGTTTAGTATTGCAGTTTGGGTGCTCAGGTTTAAGAAACGTTCAACATCACTGTCTTAGGCAAAATAGAGAAACCCGCATATTCAAACATTAAGGCCCCATTCCCACTGAGCGACACTCAGCTGGGCGGATTTCCGCGCGGCCGGTATGCGCGAATGTTCAGGTGACATTCCAATGACGATCGCGTGACCTTCACCGTCGGGCTGCATGCAAAAATTGAAAAATCGCACGACATTCGTGGGAAAAGTTTGTACGGCTCTCACGGGGGACCCGAACGTCCCGGATCGCCTCTGTAGTCGGGCCGGTCATAATCAGGCAGCGGCGGTGACCTCTAAACAGTCAGATTAGACGGCCGCTCGCAGGGGCCTCCCGGGGTCCTAGCGAGGAGGAAGCAGCCGTCTAACCTGCCTGTTTATTGGCCACCGCCGCCGCTGCCTGATTGTGACTGGCACGGATCGCGTACCAGGTCAGCCGGATCTATTTCAATTGGTGGTCTCTGAACCTGGGCTCGCGTGCCAGCAGAAAGGGCCTCGCGTGCCCTAGGTTCGCCACCACTGCCCTAGACCCTATGATGTGGCAACTGAAGACCTGAGCGGGCAATAAAGAGTTAAAAACCCCAGAACTGATCAGAGCTGTACGAGCAGAGGAAGTCAGAGTACTATGGAGAAACCCGTTCAAAAAAAGGAAAAGGTTTGCATGCATTTTCTGCAATCTAGTGAAAGTTTTTCGGATGAGGATGATTCCGGGTACACTTTTGAGCCGGATGTTGACATGGGAAAACAATCTACAACCCATATACCTTCTGATGAAGACAATCCAGACACCATGGCTCAGTTAGCACAGACGCAGCTTGAATTACAAAACACTGTCAGGAAGATGGCAGATATTCAAGCGGAGATATGTCAAGCTATTGTGAATGTGGCAGAAACTCGGGTTGACCTACAGAAATCTCTCACAGATATACAGCCAACAATGCCTTTATCAGGACGAAAGAGGCCTCCTTCAAGTACGGCAGAGGAAGTCCTGAAGGAATTACTGAAGTTATTGCCTGCAGAGCCAGGAGGAAAACTTGGGCCCTGGTAAAGGAGCCAACTGGGCACCTCACTAAACTGTGCTCCAAAAACAAGAATCTGCAAAACAAATGGGAGAAACTACAAGCCAGTCCTACAGTTTCTTCTGCTCCAATTTCTAGACTATCTTCCTTGGTGTTTGGCTCCATGCCACCAAGAAGTCATGCACACTCATGCTGAGAAATTCTTTCCCAGAGACGCCCCTATCCCGCTGGAGTGGAAGAAAAGACTTCAAGCCCAGCTCCTTAGATGGCGAGACCTATTCTCTAAGGATGTTTGATGTGGGGTGTGCAAAGAGTACCTAACATCATATTCGTCACAGGATGACAGACCCTTTCGGGAAAGGTCTCGACAGGTTCCACTGGGGGACTTAGATCTGCGAGAACAACTGGCAGAACTAAAAAGGACTGGTATAATTCAAGAGTCCAGAAGTCCTTATGCTTCTCCTATAGTAGTGGTCCGCAAGAAAATGGATCTATATGCTTGTGTATAGACTATCACACCATTAATCG